ACTGTACTTAAGTACAGTAACGAAGTACTTGTACTCCGTTACTTCCCACCACTGCGAGGAACACAAAAAGCTGAGATAAACGGCAAACAGATGTCACTGGCCTCCGCCTCCCACTGCTATTGATGAACAAGCCAGGCTTTTTTTAGTTTGAGCTTGCATTTCAAAGGCGAGGTCAGGCTTCGGGCTCAGAGGTCAGCTCCATAGCTGCTACATTGAGGCTGCCAGGCACTTTATGAAGGCTGCTCGATGGAATGACTGAAGAATTTAAGCCCAAGTGTCATTTATGTCGCTGTTCGCTTCCAAGATCCATTGACCACAACATTTATCATTCCTTTTCCTCAGTTTTTGAGGATCTTGCCAGGATGTAGTGTTGGCTCCATGTTGGCTTTCAGTACAGTCTTCTGAAAATGTCGCAAACAAAATGGTGGTAAAGCGCTGTATTATTCAGCCTGTTCCACAACATTGATCTCAAGCAAATAACCTTGTAGACCGGTCTGTTGGGACTGCAGTTGAGGCTGATAATAAAAAGAGAAAGGATTTGATTTGTACCACTGACTTTAGCAAATGCATACCTCTACTTTTACCAGAGAGATGCAGTGGCATGGAAACATATTTATGTCACGTTTCAACCACAGGTGTCAGTGTATTCAATCTATTTCATTGGGAGCTGAAGGAGAATGACAATTACATGGTATTATTTCAAATGAAGATCTGAAACGTAGGACTTCCATTTGTAGTCAACCCCCTAGAAATCGACACTGTTTATAAAACTAACCTAATTGTACAATTTTGTAAATAGTTTTGAGCTAATTGGTATTGGCAATAAGGACCTTGTCTTTGCTCGGTCCCAATAAAAATTTAGAAATGTGTGGTTTACTGTATGCCAAAGAGTTCAGAGTTTATGAGTACTCTTTGTTTGAACACATCCTTTCTATACAGCAACCCTAGAAACAATGGGGGTGTGAAGGTTAATTGTTAATCCCCCAGACATCAGTATGCATGTCCAACATTGTTTCCTGGACACTTGCTTTCTCTTTCTCATTTTCTTCGACAGGTCCATTGAGTTAGCTGTGGACTCCCCTGTTTGTATCTTCTCAATCAAGCTAATCCTTCCATACAACGTTTGTTTGTGTTTTTTCTTGTGGCTGCCGTCATTAGTTGACACATCTGAACAAAGAGACAAAACTGATGGACATGTTGTCGTCTCACTGAGATAGAAAGAATCCCTCTTGATTGCCTCCCAGAGGAGCTTTTAGTTATGTGTAGTCGCTCTTTAAGCCTTTTCCCTTCCTGCTCCGTTTCCCTCTGTCTTTCTTTTAGCGAACGGGACAATTGGTTTCCCAGGTAACCGGAGCTCCAATCACCCGGCCAGCTGCAGATTAGCTTAGCGGTGGGGGGTTTAGCTGGGTGGGGGGCGGTGATGATGGAAAATGAAGAGGGAGGAGAGAGAGAGAAATTAGGAGGAAGGGGGTGGCTTGAGGAAACGAGGGGTGGGAAAAGTTTCAGAGGGGTAGAGAAGAAAATTAGTGTCATTTATGGATAGGACTGTGAGCGCGCGCAGACGGAGCCGCGAACCGTTTTAGCCTCGAGGCTGAACGGGAGAAGAGGGAGTCCCTTCATTCCGCTCCCCACTTTTCCCAAACTTTTTTTTTTTTTTTTTGTGCTTCCTCGGCTGTGGCTTTGTAGGAGGTTCGGGAAGGAGCTATGCAGAGCGAGAGAAGTCAGAGGCAGGGGTAGGGGCGCTGGAACGGAGGAAGAGAGGGGAGAGGGGGTGGAAAAGCTAGTTGGTTTGGAAGAAAAGGAGCCATGCAAGTGGATGCTCTTCTCTGCGGGATCGGGTTTCACAAAATGAATAGCTACACCGAGAGAGCTTCATCGGGGCTCAACCAGCTCAGAAAGGTATAGTGAAATCTAAAAGATTTTATTTGTCACAGTTTTTTTTATCCAGAAAAAGTAAGAAAAAAACGTTTTCTTACAGTTGTACAAAGGCTTGTTTCTAAGAGGTTATGCTGGTGTGCATCTGTACCTTCTACTCAGCAGTGCTAGTGTAATTGCTTGCGCCTGACCTTGATTGTGTCAGGCTTCCTTTATCTGTGTAAAGAATGTGGGTCTATGCTTCCCTCAAGCAATGCTAATGGAAAAATGCTATAAGCTGGTTTTCTCTCTTTATTTTAGCTTTGTTTCTTCCAGATTGATTTTTTTTCCCGTCTTTAAGACTTTCTTAAAACTTACACTGGGGGTTCAAAACAGACTCATTTGCTCCCCACTGAGCTGTTTATGATTGCACCAAACAACAATCACAGGCTTAAAAATGTGCAGGCATATAATGATGTTATGATAGAGATATGAGCATTCCTCCATGCGAACAAAAGCACCTCTTCATGCATTGCTTGTATTGTTTTGAAAGGGCTTGCCTGGATGGAAACCTCCTCAGGGAGGAAGCAGGAGTTCACCTACAGGTGGCTGTCCATAAAATAAAATAAAAAATCTCTCCAGTCAGAATGAAGTTAACTAAAGAAGGCTGGAAGGGTAAAAAAAAAGTGTCAGGATGTTTTGATACTGAAAAAACCTCTGCCAGAGGGATTAAGTTTAATCTCTATAAATAGTACAATACAGAAAATTACAGCTCATCAAAAAAAAGCACAACATTAATTATCAATGGGTCACTGTTAAAAATCTAGAAAAGCAACAACTTGTCCAAAAAGACCATTTAAAAAAAGAGGTTTAAATGTTCACACAGAACAGATTAAGAGTGAACATTGTCTGCTAATGGAGTTTGTGGAGTTGTCATTGTAAACAGGCTCAACTTCTGAGGATTTCTTAAGAGAAAATGAAACAAGCAGATGTTTTGAGTGAGTTTTTCCCCATTAAAACTCGCATTGCTTTCATAACTACTTCTAAAACTCACAAACACTTTCTCGTTCTTTTTTGTTTTTAACTGTTAGTAGCATTATATTACTTTCAAAAAGCGCCGGTTCATTTTCCTCCGTTGCTACTTTTGGTTGTTTTGTATCTGACTTTCTATGTCGTGAAAAGAACCTCCATTCATACCAACTTTGATAACTTAAAGTTTTTTTCAATCTACGTAAAGCCTCCACTTTTTTGCTCCTTATGTTACAATGATTATTATGCCTGACCACTTCAGTTTTAGACCAATCACAGAGTGTTCAATCTGGCTTTTCATGATACCTTTGAAGTAAATACTTCTTCCATGAGCCCAGATGGGTACTGGACTTGTTTAATCTAGAAAATTACATACCTTTCCCAGCAATCAACCAGCATCTTCACAAGGGTTTTGGAATGTTGTTTTGTAGTTGATGATCACATTTTGTGTTCAAACACATTCATCCTTGTGTGTTTGTTTTGTTTTATCAGAAGGTGATTTAAAAAACGATTTCATCTAGAAGCACAATCTTCTGTATCATATTTTGTCCTTTATATTCATAATTAGACAAATGAACAGCTGAAGCAGATTACAGATCAAAATTCCTTTGGTCCTCTAATCCTCCGTGTCTGCCTGATCCTGCCTTTTATTTACCTAGCAAAGTAGGAGTGAGATTTTATTGAACAGAGACAAGCTGACTCTCTGGAGTTACGGAGAAGGTTTATAGAGCTTGAGATAAAGAGATGGTGACGGTTTGTCTGCTGGTCTGGAGGACTGTAAAGGCTGGGCTCCTATCCTGTCCTCTGAACCCACTCTGTGTTTATACGTGCCCCCGTGTCTAGTACCGGTGTTACTATCATACACCCACTCTTCTGGTTGATTGGGTTAACTATTTGCGTTTGGAGTCAAGGTCAGAGGTAAACTTTCTTCAGCAATGTTGCAATGGCATTCATGCCTCTTAATGGTTTTCATATTTTGTCACATTGCAGCCCCAATCTGTGATGATTTTTTTTTTTTTTTTTACCAGACAAAATGATACATAGCTTTTAAAATATTTTTAAAAGGTCTGAGAAAGACAAAGTCAAAGTCCAGACCTAATATTGTCTATGGCAATACTTTTATTTTAACCATTCAGTCTGAAATGAACATCCAGATTTTTACTTGTTAAAAATAATGATAATGATAAAAACCAATTCCTTCCACTTCACTATTGTGTGTGGCCAATGATACTATTTTATTATATTTATTTATTTCCAACATGACAGAAGTATAAAATCATACACATCAACAAGGAATGCAAAAGACAATTTTTTTTGTACTATAATAATCTTAACATGCTCGAAAAGGAGTAGGAAGAAGTAAGAAACTTGTGAAACACTGTTATCTTTGTTTTCTGTTCCATAAAATTCCAATAAACATTGAAGTTTGAGATTGTGACATGAAAACATAATATGAAGCTCAAGGAGCGTTAATACTTTTTGCAAGTCACTGTATGCCGTTGTAGAAAATTACTTTCTGTTCTTGACACGATTTCTGGCTTTCTTTTTCTGTGTTCCTTTCAGGATCAACCTTACATACTGCATATAATTTCCACATTTTCTCAGGCTTTATTTATTGTTTTTTTATGTTTAAACAAAAACCTCTATATTTTTGTTGCACACTGAATACAGCATGTCTCAAGATTGTTTGCATAAGCACCAGCTAAACCCATATCAACAAACAACAGAATATTGTATCTTATCAGGAGAAAATTCTACAACAAATGCTTTTTATCATGTTGTTTCTTAATTTGGGATCTTTTTTTTGTTTTGCAAGTGGAGATCGTATTCATAAGTGATTGGTGTGACCAATAATTTGGCTTAATAATAACAGTAACTCTAATTACATGTGAAATTGTAGCCATAACGTGAATCACTTTCACAGACCTACAAAGTTAGAACCATGCTGATATCCATGTATATTCATAGAAAGTTCTTGTGTAAATTTATCTGCTGTGGCTTCTACGGGTTGATGCGTTTTACTGCTTATTGTTTTCGTCTCAGAATGGTGACGGACGGCAGGGTTTGGGGGCTGGGAGGTATTGCAGCCTGTTTTTAACAGACACCGTTCCCAGCAGCCTGCTACTCAAAAAGGCCAACCTTCTGCTGTCCCAGAGCTGCTGCTGCTGTTACCACAGAGATATACCCTGAAGGAATGCTTCCTGTGGTTATGGTCCATGAATTCCTCTTGTTATGATGGGGGTGTTTAGTGTGTAATACTGTTAGTGGGTCATGGATTTTGTCATGATCAAAAATAGGTCTCGCCCCCTCCTCTCAAGCACTCGCGTGGTTAAATCTTGTACATCCAAAACCCGGAGTCAAATCAAATCACGCATTACTTCTGCATGCTATCACATTGCAGTGTTGGACTAATTTACATTAACACTTTTCAATGTAGATTGTTGGACTCAATGTAGATTGTTGGATTGTAATTCAACGCCAACCAAACAAATTTTAATATAAATTCTATATGTTTTGGCAAGTGTATTAAATTCAGCTGGATTAAAGCTAAATTAATGCACATTCTGTGTTTACCACCTAGAAATGTTAAGCCAAATTAACTGTCCTGTATGAGTCTTCAGTTTGTCCATCCATCCATCCATCCATCCATCCATCCATCCATCCATCCATCCATCCATCCATCCATCCATCCATCCATCCATCCATCCATTTTCTGACATCCTTATCCCGTTGGGGCCATGAGGGGTGCTGGTGTCTCTCCAGCTGTCAATGGGCAAAAGGCAGGGTACACTCTGGACAGGTCATCACAGCTTCAGTTTGGCCGTTCAGTTAAATTTGAGGGGAAAAGTACAGGCCACGCCTGTATTATCAGTGAGGAGTCACTACGAAAAGAGACATTTGTTTCAGTCCAATTCACATTTTCGCTCAGACACAACAGTCACCATGGTCTTGCCTTTGAGGGTGAAATGCTCTGACTTTTTGACATAAATTATTTGTCTCCTAAAACATTCACTCCAAAACAGTGCTGATCAATGTTGCCTGTACACAGACTTTGTCACATAAAGAATGGTATTAAATACAATTCAACCAAATATGTACTACTCAAACACTGGAATGCATCAGCTGAATGAATGAATCCTCTGCATTTTCATACAGAGGCTTTATGTCACTATAGTGATGTGTTTCAGAACAAAATTAGCTGTTTTTCACTACAAAATACATGCTCGTGCCATCAGTAACTTATGATACAAGGTTTTGACACTAACCCTTAACTGTTTAATTCTATATGATTGAACTAAAGTCTGTAATGGAGCCCGCAAGAGTCTCCTGTACCTCCTCCCTTGTTCTTACAATTAAATAGTTTGATTTTATTTTCACTACGCGGCATTTTAATAGACATACCATACTTAACCTAAAACAGAAGATGATTAGGCCCCAGTTATTCCTGTTAACTTACAGTTGAACTTAATATTATTCTTTTTTACTATCTTAGTGATTACCGTCCTGCCAGAAGGTTACTGACGTAGAGTTACAGCCTTCTCTCCTTTCTCCACTCTTCCATTATTTTGTGCCCTCTTGCAGACATGACTGTGAGCGGAAAGAATGGCGTTTACCTGTCAATTTAAGGATCTCTTGGAAAATGGCAATTAAAACAATTCTGCACCTTTAAGTTCATCCAAGTTTAACAACATAATAAGTAGATGCCCCAGACGCACTGCAGACACAGAGGAGGCTGGATTATAACAAATCACATTTAAACACTGTCTTGTTTAAAATGTAGAGCAGGGAAAGCAGTGGCGTTTGCTGGTGATGCGTTTTCTCTGAGTTGTACTTGTAATTCTTTCTTCTTATTTAAAAATATTTAGCTTCAGATCTTATGTTTGGTCAGATAATAGCTCTAATTTTTATTAAAGAACAAATTTTATTGTTCTAAAGTAATTTTTTTTTACATTGGTTTAGTATGATTTGATTGTGTGAGGGGAAACCAAACAAAAGACTCTGTTTTACTCATATTT